AATCTAATGTGTATTAAAGAATTCACATGTCTAATGTTCGGTAAGCAGGAAACAAAGCTTAGAAAAGCTTTTGATGTTTTAAAATGATGTGCTATTCTAATGAGAAGCTAGGCATCCAGACATGTTTTTAAAGTTCTTTGATAAATTGATAATGTGGGTTGGCAACCTTATATCACTTATTTCTATAAATCAAACATTAATCATGATTTAAAGTGCAAGTGCTCCAAGTCCTTTCATGCATCAGTTCATTTTTTGGACAGCATTTCATAGAGAAAGTGTTTGCTTGGACAGGAGAGCGAAAGGGAAACTGTCCTTCCGTGGAGACTTCAGCGCGAAGGGCCGGGCCTGAGCGGGCGGCCGCGCCGCCAGCCTCCACTGTGGCGCGCGCACACATGCTCACCCGTGCACACGCACCCACACACACACTCACACATCTGTGCGCTCTCACACTGACACACACACTCATACACACCCACACAGGCAGGTGCTTGCCTCGCCTCCCCACTCTCCTTTCTGTCTGATTTATGGGGAAAAGGAATGGAAACTAAATGCGATTATATTAAACATTTATTACTGTTAGTGATTATTTCCTGGGGCCAGGCTTTGGGTAAATGAGTGATAGGTGTGTTCCTTTCCTGGTAACTAGTTCCTGAGAGAGCGAATGCCATGCGCATTTTTCAGAGGACAAAGCTGAGTCTCCAAGAGGCTACGTCCATTGTCCCCAATCCCCAAGCTCCCAGCACAGGCCTGTCCCATGGAATGGGGTGTCCTCACAGGAGCCGTCACAGGAGACAGTCCGGGGACAGTGCTTGTGTGAGTCTGGCCCCGTCGCCACTGCCCAAACCCCCTGGCCCCCTAAGTGCGCTTGTCCCTGCCGCCCTGGAGGACGGTCTGCAGACACGATGGCTCACAGGTCAAACCACAGACAGGGCCAGCCCACAGTCTGCACCGCGTGAGGCGCAGTGGGGTTCCTGCTCAGAGATGGGGGTGGCTCTGTGGACGCTCTGGGCAGAGCTCTCCTCTCGCGTGGGCCGCCCGGTCCCCGGGCTCCGCGTGCCCGGGCAGGCGGGTGACCACAGGGCCGGCTCCGACTGCAGGGCATGCAGACCGATGGCAGGGGTCCGAGCAGGTGGCCTCTCAGGTTCCTGGCCAGCAGGGGAAGGAGGCTGAGGGTGTCCCCTGAGTGTGGCTTCCCCTCCTGGGGGTCCCCTCTGTGAGCGGTCGGTTTTCCGACATAGCCCCTGGGAGTGCCTGGGGCATGGAAAGATGGGATGGAGAGCGCCTTGGGGCAGAATGGGGGGTGCGTCCAGTCACGAGGTCGCCGAGCAGCGGCTCTCGAGCTGGCCCACACGCCGGGCGAAGCGCTCACCTCTCTGACACAAAGCAGGAGGAATAAGGACGTGGCGGCGAGGGCGTCTTACTGTTTGTTTGTTTTTGTTTGTTTATAGAGCTAAGTCTCCTCAAGGTAATGGACACTCTTCTGGTCTAAGATGACACTTGTCTTATGATTTTGGTGTTAAAATGTTCTGTCACCCTGGCTGTGTGGCTCAGTGGGTTGGGTATTGTCCCCCACAAAGTAAAAGGTCGCCAGTCAGGTTCCTGGTCAAGGGGCGTACGAGTGGCAATGATTGCTGGCTCCCTCTTTTTCTCCCTCCCTTCCCTTCTCTTGGAACCTTCTCTCTCTTCTCAAAAAAAAAAAAAAAAAAGGAGAAACACTGCCTTCAGGTGAGGATAAAATAAATGTTCTCTCTGTCATGAAGAGATGCTGACGACACACAGCAGCAGTGAATCGGTCCCACCACCTGGATCAGAAGTCGGACACTCGATGGCCTTATTCCCAGTGTTGGGGGAAACTGTCGCTGGCTTGAGACACAAATGTGCAGGGCGTGGGGACTCGGGGACCAGAGGGGAGGAAAGCAGGGGGTGACGCGGAGCCCTGGGCTGGGACACCCTCGGTCTCCCAGGCCCCTCGTGTCCTCTACTCCCAGAGGACTGGCCCAGATGGTCACTCAGTGCCTTCCAGCTGCAGGGCTCCGGTCACTACGGAGCAGTGGGCACCTGGACGGCAGGCCAGTGGCCTCTTATTTGATGCGTGGAGAAACGCCGAGCAGACAGGTTAAAGAGACAGAGTCTGGGGACTGGAACAGAGTCACCGCACAACGGCCCGACACGGGTCAGAGCATCCGAGATGCGCCTGCCCTAGCGTGCGCGAGGGAGCGTCACCGGTCACAAAGTTCTCTCTTCGGTGCCATGGGCTTCGTCACAGCGTGTTTGCGATGTGGACAGCGAACATCTGCTTGTAAAAAAATTCCTCTTCAATTCTTGCCTTTGTGCTTCGTCCTTTAAACAACTTCTTGGGCTCTGCTTTGTGTGGTCCATCAAGCCCACAGCGCCGTTCTGAAAAGGAAGCCTACGAATTACTTCCTTAATACATTAAAAATAGGATAAAGTGATTTGCCGATTTAGCATAGAGCCTCTGTCAGGGCATTCAATAAATATTTGGACAATAAATACATTTTAATGACATGTACTTGCATCAGATTTTGTCACATTATAAACATACCTGGCAGCTGCTCTTCTTTTTTATAAAAAGACAAGTTTGTGGGGGGTGGGGTCCCCTGCAGAGCGGCCGCACAAGCTGCTTCTTGCTTCTGGGATCGTCAGGACGGACTTCGCTGCTCTCAGCAGCCGATCCAGTGTCACCGACGAGACGTCTTCCGCTGCTCCGGCCACACACTCACGGCACAGCTGTGGTCCGCGCTGCCTGAGTCACTTTCCTTCTCTCCTTTCGGCCCGATCCTGTGATTCATCATTCTGCTTTTAGCATGTTTGCGTATTTTTAAAACCAGTCACAGAAGGCAGCCACCGTGTAAAAGTAAACACACCACGCAGCAGCGTGGGCAGCGTGGCAAGCAGCCCCTGGCGGGCCGGGTGCCGCCGCAGCAGGTGGCAGGACCGGACAGGCAGGGCCGGTTGCAGGCTCAGCCGCACCTCGCGGCAGTCTCCGGTTTCCTCGTTTCCGCTGCCGTGTCCTGCTGGGATTAATCCCACTTGGTTCATTTTTAATAAAAGCCTTCCTTTTATTTTGCTTGTTGTCATAAAATAAAATATTTATTTGTATGTCAGTGAGGTAGGATCCAATGTTAAACCTTCACTAACCTGCAAAATTATCACCGCGGTCACATACGTGTGCCCATATGTGCTGTGACTATAAATAATCATGCAGATTTCTGTCATAGGCAACATTAATTTTGGGCCACATCGGGTATTTGCTATTTACTTTGCTGTAGCAAAGCAAGTGAATTCTTTTCCATAACTCAGGGGGAAGGAGCATGGCTTCTCGGGTGCCGGGGGGATGGGGTCCTGGGGAGCCCCGGCGCCGTTCCCTGCTGGTCTTCGGCCCCTTGAATTGCTGCCTGCTCCGCTCTTTGCACAGCTGGTTTCTGCCCCCACGCAGGCCTGCTCACTTGTGATTATTGGGGTTCAGACACCAAAGTATAAGATGCTCCCATTTACCTGTGCCAAGTGGTTCTGGCTTTGAACTCACTGAGCTAAAATAATCGTGATGTCTGGGAAGTTGATATTTTATCTAAGTATATTTAAACATACCCTTGACCCAAATCAGTTGAAAACTATAGGTTTTATATGAAGGCCACGTCTAACGGGTCAGTGGCAACCAGTAAATATTTCTGTCCTTGGTCCAATTCTTTGCAAATGATGGTGGATTTGAAACCTGCAGTCTTTGGCAGAAGTTGTCCCCTCTCGTCTGAGTGGGAAGAGAGCGTTCGGGGGCTGGGGGCGTGCTCCTCTTGGGACTGTCCCCCGCCTGCGGACAGGGCCTCCGAGGGCACGCGTCCCCACGCGGCTGGGGGTGTCGGGGCCCCGCAGGCAGTGGCGGCCCCCCGTGCCCCGCTGTGCCGGCCTCGGTGCTGCTCTTCGCTCGCACGCACCAGAGGCTGCGAGGGCCTGACCCTGGCGGTGCCCGGCTGGGGTGAGTGCTGTCCTCGCCTCGGTCATCTTTCGGGAGATTGTCTTCAGCACCTTCGACGTCAGAGCCTTGTCCCAGCTGGGCTCCCACGCGGAGGGCGAGGGGGACCCGAGCTTCGGGCTTGTCAGTTGTCCGTGTCCCCCTGTAGTTCAGGCCGAACTTCAGCCATTCTCACAGATGCATTGGATTACGGAAGTAAGAAAGCAAAAATTGTTCTCTTCCTTTTCTTTATCACGGCTCACAGTAGGTTTGGCTTTAAGTTATTCTTTAGCCTGTGGTTTTTCTGAGACTCACCGTCCTGCGTTCTGGGGCCGGGTCGGCACCGGACAGAGGAGCCAGCGTCCCCTGGGCTGTTGGGGCACCGCTGACGGGGCGGCGGGCCCTCCTGCCAGCAGGGCGCTCTTGCAGGGGTTGGGGGGCGACTTGGGTTGCGAGGCCACACTGCTCTCAGGTTTCCGCAGACGCGTCTGGGGTCTGCCTCTGTCCACCCAGAAACGCCTGCCAGGCCGCGGGCTTGGAGGCAGGAGTGCCCCTCTCTCCTGCCCCTGGGACCCAGAGCCAGGCACGGTGACGCCCGTCGGGGCGGGGGCGCTTGCCGCAGGGCAGAGCGCAAAGCAGTCGGAGCAGCCGCCCTGGGCCGTAGAGAGCAGGCCCCTCGCCTTCGCGCCCACGTCCCCGCTGCCCTGCTGGGGGCCGCGTCACCTCGCTGGCACCTGCTGAAGAGCTTTCCTGTACATCATGTGTTTTGCACGTGGCCAACACCGGAGTGTTGAAAGTTGAGCTGTGCTTCTGAGTTGGAGAATGACCAGAGAACATTTGCGAGATTTTGGTCTGGAGGACTGAGCTCTGGATCCTTCAGCGTGTACTGAAAACGAGCAAATTGTCTTGTGCCTCTTCTCTGTCCGCAACTGAAGGGATGAAAGTGGCCGGGGCGGGAGGCAGGGCAGCCGCGCTGCAGGGCGGCGCTGCGAGCCCAGGGCTCCGCAGTGAGGCGTCTCCTCTCCCGTTGCAGATGACACGCCGCCCGATGACGCCGCTCCCTTGGTCTTCCCGGAGTTAGACCAGCAGCTACAGGTAAGGGTTCTCTCATCTCTTCTTTCCTTCTTAGTTTTGCAAAATCAACTAAACAGAGGAGCAGCCCACCTGGGAGACGGAGACAGAGCTGCCCGGTCAGGCGGGCGCCCGGTGCACAGACCCCGCCGGCTTATCCGGCTGCAGGCCGGCTGTCAGGGACGCGCAGGGGATCAGCTCCTGTCCTCGGGGACCCCTGGGGCCAAGACCCCTGGGTCGGCTCCCCTGGGCTGTGCAGGTCTCCAGGCAGCGTGACGGGGCCTGGTCGGCTGAGGGACGTGGTAAAAACCTGAGCAGAGGCAACGTCGTGTGGGCGTCACGGGAGGTCGGAATGGTCTCCCTTTCTCTGCTCCGCCCCCACCCGCCCCTGTTTTCTGACAGCTTTTAATAGAACATAATTATTTTATTTTTTAACTAAAATTTTTAAAGATTTTATTTATTTATTTTTAGAGAAACAAGAAGGGAGGGAGAAAGAGAGGGAGAGAAACATCCATGTGAGAGAGAGAAACGTCGATCGGTTGCCTCTTGTATGTGCCCCAACCAAGAACCAGGCCCCGCAACCCGAGCGTGTGCCTGACTGGGAAGCAGACCAGCGACGTTTCATGTTGTAGGACGACACCCAGCCACTGAGCCGCGCGGGTCAGGGTGAACGTGGTTAGGTTAAACCTTCAGACGCTGCCTGGTTTGGCCCAGGGGGACAGCGTGTGCTGTATGTAGCTAGGGACGGTGTGTCGCAGATGCCCCATTTTAACACGCCACAGCGATGTCCCTTCTCCTGAGGGGACAGACGGTGACACCAGCGCCCACGGCTCCGGGAAGCGGTCTGCCCGGGTGCTGTCCCCGTGGCAGGCGCTGTGCCCAGGACTCACAGGGGCTCGAACCCTGCGGACATGGGCCCGGCCACCAGTAGCTTCTCGGAGTGTTGCTTCGGAAAGCCTTCCGGAGGGTGTGTGGCCTCCAGCCCCCGCAGGCTGGACGCTCCCTCACACCAGCAGCTCTGCCGGGGGCTGGGCCTCGCCCCTGGCGTCACTGGGGTTGGCGCCCCTGGTCCGGAACAGCCCTTGCGGGTGGGAGGGCCCAAGAACGGGTCTTTGTGTCGCCCCAGCCGGCATCCCTGTGCCTCGGCCAGTTCTCACCTCGGTGCCGGCATGTGGGGCCCCCGAGGAGCCCCTGCCCCCGCGGCCCCCGCAGGCAGCCCGCCCGGCCGAGCAGGGATGCAGAGACTGCGGAGGTTGTCGGGGACAGCCGCGCTCTGCTGTGGGGACGCAGCTCCAGCCTCCTGCCTCCCTCTCCCTGCGCACCCCCCCACCCCAGGTCCACAGCCGCTGCCCTGCGTCCGGAGGTCCGGCCACACACCTCGGTCCCTCCTCTTTGTGCCCAGAGGACACCTCGGCTCTGTGCCCGCATGTCTGTCCGGCTGGCACGGCACCATGTTCTGGTTTGGACTCTGGCTTTGCTGAAGGGCTGTCTGCGCCCCACGTGGGCGCCTGGGATTGTAAAATAGTAACTATGTATTTGTCCCCATTCGTTTTTATTTCCGCTTTAGTTCACTACCGTCTCAAAGCTGTTTTGTCACCATGGGTGTTAGGCAAAAATCAAGAGTGAACGTGTTTTGAAACTCACACAGACGCACATTCAGGTTCTTGCTCCCCCATGGAATTGTGGGTCATTAATTCTGCTTTGCCATATTGGCAACAATACTTTTTCTCTCTGGGGACAAGGGCGGCCTCCCCTGGCTCACGGGTCGTTCTCCGCGGGAGTTACAGCGCCCTGCGATCGTCCGCATCATTTCTCTGAAAAAGCATTTAGTTTTACAGCTTTAATTCCACTTGACACGTTTTAGAAATTAACTCTATTTAATTATTTTACTCCAACAAGACTATTTCATCTGTATTGGCCCTTAGTGAGTCAGGCAGCTGAGAGGCAGCATCGGGCTTGTGGCTTGCAAGTGTCCTGGAGCCTTCAAACCCAGTTGCTTTGCCTCTCCACGAATGGGGAGAACATTCCGGAATTTAAGTAACGGCCTGTTTGTCAGGGAAGGCTAGCCCTGAGCGCATTATAAACAGTTGCCTGTCGCCCGGCCGCTCGGCCAGGGCCGCCTCTCTCTGAGGCTGTGCTGCTGCTTTGCTGACGTCCGGGGCACGGGACGGCGGGAACTTGGGGGCAACCTGCCCCAGGAAACGAGGTCTTAAGGTTATTTCCATGGGAACCTAAGCACAGAAATTTAAGCCATTCTGCGGCAGAAGTGCCTGCACTGAAAGCCACGAAAACGCTTGCTGGGCGAAAGGCACGACCCTGTCCCCTTTTACCACCAGGTGAGGGCTCTCGAGGTTCCCTGGCTGTCGTGGTTGCCTGCAGAAGAACCGGAGCCAGGGACCCCGGCAGGGGGAGGCCTGTGCGGAGCCCAGTGCACACGAGCGAGCCGCCCCCCGCTGACCTGGCTGGGCCTGAACGCACGGCCTGCGGAACAGGGGCGGCCCCGGCCGGCCCACCGGTGCACTGAGGCCCCGGCCCTGGCGGTAGCTGCAGAAGCTGATGATCGTGTCAGCACCTTGAAGGAGAGAAACCCAGGCCGGGTTTTGGTCCAAGCCCCTTGCGAGCCCCCAGGCAGCTCACTCGCTGCAGCAGGTGTTTTGTTTCTGCTCTGCCAGGTGACCTCGGAGCGGCCACACAGCCGCCATGTAAAATCTGCTCCGACTTTCCGGTATCCACTGCACAGCCTTTTGTCACTTATAAGAAGCAGCTATAAAACAGCCATTTGGTGGATGTGCTATCACCAATTTGACCACCAGGATTTTTCTGTTGCTTTGCCAAGAATGTGGACATGTTTGAACATGTAATTCCTGGTGCTTCTATTTTCATGGAAGCCAAAAAAAGTCCTTGCAAGAATAGCAGTGACAAACATGGCTCTTGACGTCTCTATTAATGCAGAACGCTGGGCAGGAGGCCTCTGGGCCAGGACGGTGTTCAGATGAACATCCCTTTCCCTGGCCCAGGGGCGGGCGGCCGGTCGAGTCCATCTTGTGTGGGTTTCTCTTCTGGAAGTGGGTGTCTAACATCTCGTGCCTGCGAGGGGCATGTCCGGGCAGCACTAGTTTAGACCCTATGGAGGCCCGAGTTTATGTCCACTTCTAAGACCGAATGAAAGGTCATTACGCTTCTTTAGGCCTGTTTCCTTCTCTTTCAAAACGGCCACGACCGGCTCCCTCTCTGTTCTGCGGGGTGTATGACCCTTTAATAGGCCCTGGGTTTTGGTCAGAACTAAATTTGTTTTCAAATTTAACAGTGTTGCTACGTTTGGGAGATCATGGTTGGCCTGTAAGTGATTCAAAGCTAAGCTGCAATATGGTCTTAATTACTAGCACTAGAATGAGGAAAATATTTCTTTAATTTTTTAAAATTGACTTTATTGGGGTGACATTAATAAGTTATATAGGTTTCCGGGGTGCACTTCTACAACACAAATCTGTATATTGCATTGTGTGTTCGCCGCCCCTGGTCAAGGCTCCTTCCATCACCATTTATCCCCCCACCCCCTTTCCCTGTGGTCATTACCACTGTTGTCTCTGTCTGTTGAGGTTTTTTTGGTCTTTGGTTTTTGTTTTTGCTCAGTCCCTTCCCCTTTTTCACCCAGACCCCCAACACCGCTCCCCTCTGACAGCTGTCAGTCTGTTCTCTATGAGTCTGCTTCTGTTTGGTCAGTTTATTAGATTCCACATATAAGCGAAACACCAATTCCAAAGCACATACGCACCCGCTGCTCAGAGCAGCCTTCTTGACAACCGCCAGAGTTCGGAAGCAGCGCAAGTGCCCGCCGGTAGATGAGCGGGTGGGGAGCTGGGGGGCGTTCACGCAACGGAACACTGCGCGGCCGGGATGAGGCCGGGCTCTGGCTTTTTGGCGACAGCGTGGATGGACCTGGAGAGCGTTGTGCCGAGTGGAATGCCAGCCAGAGGACGGAGTATGTCGCTATAAACGGGTGAAGGGCATGCTGGCGAGAGGTGTTAACAGACAGGCGGCTGGGAGTTACGAGGAAGGACGAGCCGCCGGGGCAGGCGCTCCGCGCCAGGGCGGCTGGCACTGCTGTGCAGGCTCTGGACCCTCCGCTGTCCCGAGCTGCACAGCCGGGGCGGTATCGCTCACCCGTTTTGTTGTGGGAATGAAATGCGATGATGAGTTGAAATGGCATAGTGTTTGGCAAAATAATTGCTCAATTCACATTAATCCCCTTCCCTAATGAAAATATTCATTGAACGAAGCACTTAATAATTTATATGTGTCAAATGAAACAAGAGGAGCGTCTCGTTGGAATATGGAGTCAGGGACAGCAAATTGAGCAGTTCGCCCACCCTCCCATCCCACCCCAAAGTCTGCCATCTAATCTGAGAGGACAGTGACAGGTGTCTCTGTGGCACACACTGAACTTGCCTTTTCTCAGACAGTGTCTGGCAAGTCCAGAAACTGAGGTCACCTCCGCAAATAAACCGCGTGTGGCTGGAGGTGTGTGCTATCATATCTTGTTATCCGAGCGGTTTCTCCAGAAACTTCTTTTAGGTCTTGCATTAATACATCACTTGGTAGCTCAACAAGGAAAATGTAGAAAACAGAGAAGTCTTAGCATTCCAGACTTCTTGAACATCCAGTGGGAAGTGGCTTTTTTTTTCTCTGACCATGTTGAAAAGTATTTTACAGTGTTCTCTGGTGGCTGAGACCAGAGAGAAAATATATATAGATCCTTGGAGCTTTACCATACCTTTAATTTTGGGGGGGGGGGGGTACCCAGTGGTCATTAGGATATGCCTTATAGGAAAAGTCTGAGATTCTCTCGAGTTGTCACCCCCTTTACTATTATCAATAGTAATGATAAATATTACTCATTACAATGTTACATAATGTATAAGATATACGGTATATTTACTAGTGCCAACTTTGACCGTAACGTAGATACTATAGAAATGTCAGTCTTGTTTTAAAAATATTTAATATTCTACGATAACAGCATT